CCGCCGTCCTCTGCAGCAGGCGCTCCGGGCTCCACGGGGACCCGCCCTCCTCACTCCTTTACCCGCTCCTTTTAGCGCTGACCTCCGCGCCGGGGCTTCGGGGTTCGCCCCGCCCCCACCCCAATCCTGGGTTCGAAGGCGTAGTTTTCTTTCCTTTTTTTTGGTTTTGTTTTACTTCTTGAAATGGAAGCTCGTAAGGCTGGCAACTTCCCTCTGAGGTAACGCGGTCCCCTGGCCAGAGCCCCCAGCGGATGCGGGCTGGGCGCCTCCCGAGAGGCCGGACTGTTCAGCAATAAACAGGCCGGACCCTGAGCAGCCCTCATCCCCGTGCTGCTGCAGCTTCCTGACCCTGAACATGTTGGTTTTGGATCCCTGGTTCCTCAGGGCGTTTTACTTGGTGCCTCCCCTTAAAGTAACTGCTGGGTTCTTCTTATCCCCACCCCCGGGTTCTGACGGACTTATTTCTCCTTTAATGTTGGTCATGAATTTAGTTTCTTCTCTTATCCTTGGGGGCACTGGGGTGCTTTTTAAAATCTTGCATTGAGTGCTCGCTCAGAAATGTGAGCTCGTGTTGTTTTAAGCCGCAGAACCTTCTGGGTCTGGGTGTCAGGAGCTCAGTGGGTCCTTACGGTGCCGAGCACCCAGGGGACCCGCAGGCCAACACGGTTCTGCACGGTCACCATCAAAACCCGACAGCTGAGCTCCAGCTTGACTTCCAACCTCACAAACCACCCGCAGTGGAAACTGAATGTGACCCTGGACCCAGGGACTCTCCCCCCTGAGCCCGGCCCCCCCTTACACAGACCAGACCCCAGGCCGGCTCGCAGCTGTTCCCATTCCACCAGGGACAGGAGAGCAGATGCCCCTTACACAGCCCCGACCCCAGGCCGGCGGCCCGCAGCTGTTCCCATTCCACCAGGGACAGGAGAGCAGATGGGCGCTCTGTGCTGATGGGAAGGGAAACACAATGGTCCAAAGGCGCTGGCAGCACGGTTACTCCCGTGGTCACGTGGCTGACTGCACACGGCGCGTGTTACTCCTGCGGTCACGTGGCTGACTGCACACAGCCCGTGTTACTGCTGCGGTCACGTGGCTGACTGCACATGGCGCATATTACTCCCGCGGTCACGTGGCTGGCTGCACACAGCGCGTGTTACTCCTGCGGTCACGTGGTCACATGGCTGACTGGCGGCGAGCATAGGCTCTGCCACTGCCAGCATTGGGAGAGTGTGTGACACCCCACCCACCACTAGCCCAGGGAGAGATAAAAACTCTGGGTATGGTTTCTATTGCAAGCACACTGCTTTTGAACCTTCATAAAAAAAAAAAATCGTAGTGTGAACCATCTGCGGGGGAACAGAGGTCCTGGCTTTCGGCCCACCAGCCGAGTGCCCCAGGGAAGCCTGGGCCACGTAATCCACTCACTTGCAACTAGGACAGGCTGAAGGGAGCTGCTGTTTTCCTCTCACGCGCCTTCTGTCACCTGCTTCTCTCCCAAGGTAAGTGGGTCCCTCACAGCAGTTTCCTAACGAAGCTGACAACTAACCAGGTGTATGTCGGCGACGGCCCACAAACCTAAGTTACCTAATTACAGCGACTGCTGAGGCTGCCAACCGGGTTTTGTGCATCGGAAACACCAAACCCAGGCCCAGAGGAGGACCTGCTGAAGGTGTGGATGATCACCTTGACATCAGGCAAAGGCTTGGAATCCACAACAGCAGCCGCCATTTCATTAAGGCCCCATAGTCTCAGTAAACAAGTGTCCAACCTTTACACAAAGAAGATCATGTTGGGAGAGGCTGGGAACCCTGCCCAGGGCCCCCGGGGAACGTAGCAGGGATGCAAACCCTGCTCTCTTATGCCCTTCACACCAAAGGGGACTTCTC